ACACGACCTAGCGTCCGCAGCGAACTACACCATATCTATACTAAAATGTTATAATCCCTTAACGAAAAGTAACATTGATAAAGCATCCCTTGAACTTCTAATGTTTGCAGACAGCGAAGCAATCATCCCAGGTATGCTTTTGACATTTAACCTCAACATTCCTCAGCTTGAGATGAGTGCTTTCTGCTATAATAACCTCCTGACTCATTCCACTACTACTGATTGTACTATCAACACTTTCTAAAAGCAAAATAACCATATTAACAGAAATAATTTCGCGCTGAAGCATTGTCGTTACAAAGATGTCCGTGAATTTGCCAATAACTACTGACTGAAGCATTGAGCTTTTAGGTCGCAATTGCACTAATTTCCTCTTGTTTCGGATGTCACACGTTTTTTAACAAGGCATGAAGGTCCCTACACATACTCCATGAAAAAAGTTGAGAAATCATGAATTTCAGCTCGGAACAAACGACGCAGTGCGATGGCAGAACGGCGGCTAAAGAAAGGCCTTCCAGAATTTGACATACCAATTCCAGAAAGTTTTCAAAATGCTCGAAAGAACAGTCTAGCCTCGCTGGCATCTGCAGAGAGCCAGTAAGTTTGAATGGACCTTGGAAATGCTTGCAATGATGAAATAACATTGAGAAACACGCACCATCCAGGGAGTTGAACGGACGGAAAGAGTAGATCGACTGTACACTCCTTATCCCAGAGATGTAGTAGGCGTGGCATTCGAACATGGCACAGAATAGCACACTCGTGCGATATCTCAGCTTGGAACAACTGCCATGTCGTTCAGTGCTGGACATAGACACGATCACAGCTGTGTCTAAATGAAATTATTTTTTCTGAAAACACAAACTGCCACGTTTAGTTGAGGTACATAGTCACGCCTACCATATGTCAGAGATTTCGAGTATAACACCCCCTCAAAATAGCGTCAGAGTTACTCAGAGTTACAATTGTAGAACCGGCTAACGTTGAGAAACAACCTTCTGTAACGCTCGTGATCTAGGTAACTACACTCGATATCCCGGGGATAGAGTAGGCGTGGTTGCGTACTTCATCGGAACGTGGCGACGGCCGCGCTTTTGATGAGATATTTCCAATCTGGGACAATTCTAACCATGTCTTTGCCCGGTCAGGGCAGGATGACAACTGTCTCAGATGGAAATATTTCACGAAAAACGCATCTTGCGCCACGTTCAAATGAAGTGCTCACAAGTGCTTGTCAATCACGCCCATCCCTGCCTTACGATATGGATTGTACTTAGGCCTAAGTCTGTGCACAGGATAGTACGCAGTTACTTGGCTAGCGCCGTGTATGGTAAGGAAACTGTAAAGTTACTGTAGAGCAGGATTATGCTACGCTGCATCTCCCAACGTTTGCCTGACATAGCCTTTTTGCGCAGGAAGAGGACTTTCTGTCACCTTGTCCTTTACACACAGTACGTTTTCCGCTGCGTTTCCTTTTCTTTTTTACGGGACGGTAGTCTCTAGCCTTAGGTTCCTTTTCTATACTTAACCGCCCATAGTTATGCTGTATGGGGATGCATCAAAACCTTTCTGTCTCTCAGTCGAACTCCAACGCACACCTTCCGCTTTACGTGGAAATGGTCTCTGTACAGTTCGCATATCGAAAACTTTTAGCAATAAAGCATTAATAAATACGCGATTAGCTATTGCGTTTGATCAAGGCACTATACGTTTTCACTGGAAAACTTAAAGATTTGAAACACATGTCTTGATTCAGAAAGCATTCACTCGTCTGCGATTACCACATCTTCCCCAATTGGAACGTCGCAAGAAAAAGTGTATACGTGCTTTTTTAACCTTTATATGAGCTGTAATAAGGGATACACAATATAGAGTTCATTTTTGAAAGATTCATTCTTCTGCCAAAGGCCAACTACCACATTGGGCATCATTTTAACAAGAACAATGCGGTTACTATAAGTAATTGAATGATCACACATGTCTTCACTGCAATTCTCTAACAAAGCTTCGGTTAGTGCCATTCTGCTGAACCAAACTTGACTGGAAAGAAATGAACACGGAAGCGTGACCGTTGTATCTCCTAGTTGCACCTAAAGCAGTAAATCTGTCACTGGACTAGTCGCTAAAAAGAGCTCTTCGTTCATCCAGCATCCAGCACCAACGCTAAGTAGGAATTCATTTTGATTTGAGATGAGGTCGGCTCGCGTGAAGCATTTCCATTGAGTGCAGCGAACTTGTTTGTAAAACAAGAAATAGAGATAGGGACAAGTTCGGAAGCTTTATGATGATCTGTCAGATACCTCAACATCTACATGGGTTGGCGGCGACATTTTACACGGTGCGGCGGACCCTTCTGTTGAAAACGGACATGCGGACGCACATTTCTTTCCTTTGATCGATCGATTCCACTCCAGACTCGAACGTTTAAGTTGGATCATCAGCGATAACCGTGACGGGGCTTCACCGACAGTACTTCAAAAAGCCAAGCCTCAGGACAGATTCTCGTTGCGTTCAGTCGATGTTCAGGCGCCTTCTCTGAGATAGTAGTCTTGCTTGCAAGTATGAAGGATATACTACTTCTCCAGCTCAAAAGTAAGGTGAGGAAAGCGCCATCCGTTCGCGACAAAACCACGGCCCCGCCCACTAGTCATGGCGACGCCCAGCCTTCGTTTTTAATTACTACCTGATAGTGCGGTTGTTCCTACGAGCTCTCTCTCTATTTCGAATGCTGATAGTGAGGTGATAAGGGGAAAGGGCTGGCACCAGCAAGTGAGAAGTCGTCATGCACGCACAAGAGTGGTTCGGAATGGGTTAAATGTGTGGCAACTCGGGCGAGTTTTCAGTGTTTTTTTAATCACACTACGTTAATTACCATATTTCCACAGATATTCAAGCCGCACAAATAACCATTTTTGAACACAGGGCGTGCCTCTGAAGGCGGAGCCCAAGATCAGTTATGACTGTCTAAGACATCGAACGGAGAGGTAGTGTGGACTGGAATAAACAACCCTGTATGAGTTTCACGTCAGATAGTGGTAAGGTAGCGGCGGAAAAGCACAGGGTTGCTCAGTGATCCCACCCACAGTGACAGATGTCTATCCATGCTCTCCTTCGTTTGCATGCTCTCTCTCGCTTGTTTTCTCTGACCTCTCTCCCGATATCCACATTGTCCGTCTTTCGCGTGGCACTAGTACGGCCTTGGTTGAAATCCCTTGAACGGTTTTTTTTTCTTCACGAGAGTGTCAGCTAACACATACAATTCTGTTTCTCAACCCCGCTACTTACAACTTTTCGCTGGCTCATCGCGAAGTCCGCCTTTACATGCAGATGAACGTCCATAGCTTATCTCGTCTGATGAAGCCCAAAAATTATAAAGATATTCTGACGAGCTTCATCTGTTGTACCAACTCAAGATCAAATCCTCTTCAGGACTAATATAGCCCGCTAAGCAATTTCATTTCAGGTCAGCTTCAAACATCCGGCACGCTCTATGATGTTTGTCCCATGTTCGAAGACAAAAAGCCTTTCTCTTGATTTCCATGGGTCTACGCTGCCAAAAACCGAAATCAATCATATAAGCAATGGCGCATACAGGTGAAAATTGCGAATCTATGAGAAAATCTGCATAAAATCCTAATTATCTTCAGAAAATCGTCTAATGAGCGACCACCATTGACGAAACAAAAACGGAAGTCGAGCGATACGGTGCTCGAACTTGAATCTGACGATTTGTTATGAAATAATATTTGGGTACTGGTTGAATATATGAATATATTTATGAATAACAAGCTATTCTGTACAAACTGTCAAAATCAACAATAAAATTCGATATAGCAGTGTAACACGTATTCCTATTGGCTGAATTACAACTAATAGTTTACACCTAATTCTAGTTTCTAAGCACATTTAGGAATGCCTCCTTCGGTATTTGTACATTACCTATCATTTTCATACGTTCTTTGCCTTTCTTCTGATGGCTCAGCTTTTTGTTCAGACGTTCCATACCTGAAACCAGGATAACAGGACGACGCGTACTCAGCAAACTGGCCGTGGCAGCCAATGTTGACCGCCGCAGAGCAGCTATAGCTTACCTCCACCACCGAAGTTCCCCTTGAGTAACTGGGTGAAGTCCCGCTTCATCGGCTGGATAGACACTTGAGAAAGTGCTTTTGAGGAACTCCCAACACACGCTGAAACAAACGAAAATGAGGGCAGCATGTATAGAGATGTACATGTACGTGCAACTTAACTGAACTGTTTTTTTTGGATGGATGAAAGTATAAAATAAAAAAGTGGACGACCTGGTCCTCACTGTAAAGCTGCTGGAGGAAAGGTATCGCGTACTAGGTGTGAACTGACCCTTTCTGAAAGCCTGTTCGTCGTTCGTTGGCTCGTTCAAAGTGTGAACGTTACATTTTCTGTACAGGAAATAAAAATAAAGACCTTTCATCTGCACCTACAGTCAGAAATCTGGAAATGAGGCCAAGACCAAGAGCGTTCTCGATTTCACTCATAAAAGTAATGGAATATGAACCTTTACTCTGAGCAAAATATGCCTGTATTGACAGAAATTTGGATTCCGTCAACGGTAAAATGGAACACGCGAGCCAATCCTGAACCCGAGATGACTGCTTCGGTATAATGCCGTAGCATGGGACCATTTCCCATACTAATAGGATTCGAATCGGTCAGGGGCACATTTTGCAATTTTCGCGATTACTTGAGCGAAACAAATTCCTGGGCGCAGAAGGCAGTGTGAACAGCTGCGGACAATATTATAAAAGTTCCGCTTCAGAAAGTCTTAAATAAAGCGCAGAGCAGCTCGGCGATAGGGCGAAGGGCGCTAGATTGCGCCTTGAGCGCTGCGAGGTTGCTCACGTGATACGCCATAACTTTAGCAACTTCGGCCGAGTTGCTACCTGTCGTTGTACGCTCTCTCGCTGCTGCTGTCCAAACTCCTGGAATGCGAATGTACCCAGAATCCTAAGGATCTTCCCAGAAAAAGTAGGCTTATTTGTGGTGTCGCGACGATGTATGAAGGCGTCTTTGTATTCTTCTACTTTCTCTTCAGGCAAGTCAAATAGCACACATATTTATATTCCCCAACTTCGCTACCTACAATTTTTTTGAGGTCTGACGCGGAATTTTAAGAGCGAAACCATTCCAATTAGACTTCAATAAGGTGAAAACCTCACCTTTAATCGTGACTTCAAACTGCTGGCGCGGAATTTCTCTTTTGAGACGGTGCACCAATAACTTTGCACGTTCTCTTGCCATAGCTGCAGGGATGATTTGAGAGAATTCGGGAACCTGAATACAGTTGAAGTATATTATGGGTACTATGGGTGGGACAAGAAGGGGATTAGCTGCGGCTCGACAGAGCGATTCAGTGAATTCATTTATGAGCTACATCTAGGACGATGTGAATTCTATTCGGTTTAATTTGTCTTAACTTTGCATAGCATATTGCAAGCATTCATATGAGCTAGCTCAT